TAATGTCATGTTTTAACTAGTTATGAGTTCAATAGACAAGAATTATAGAAAATAGGCATCATAGTAGCCAAAATGGCCTTACTTGAACCATTTTGGTTGAAATTGCGTCCCAAAACCACTTACTTGCTCTTTTCTTGTAATCTCAAGCATTAGTCACATTTAACTAACCCCAATTATTATTAATTCACTTCTACTAACTCAAGTTTTGTGTATTCTAAGTTTTGCAAGGGGCAAACGGGACAACCATACACGAGCGAGGAACTCCATGTAATTCGGGAGATGTTGGCGACCTACATCACATTTAATTTGTAAATATCGTTTACTAGCTAGCTACTACATCAATCCTAGCCTTAGCTTACTAATTATGTACTATACATGAAACATTTTTCTAATTTATATCATCTCTTGCGATTGTTATTATTATTTATGTTTTGTTATTATTAATACTAATTATTGTTACTATTATCATAATAATAATTATTATTATTACTTATTATAATATTAATAATTATTATTATTAATATTAATATTAATATTAATATTATAATAATAATTATTATTATTATTAATATTATAATAATATTAATTATTATTATTATTATTAATATTAATATTATAATATTAATAATATTGCAGCAAAAAAAAAATACAAGTCAATATTGCAGAAAAAAAAAACAAAATACAGGTCAATGGCAACGGTTAACCGTTGCCAATATTTTTTTTTTTTAAAAAAAAAAGCGCGCAATTGTATTTGGCAACGGTTAACCGTTGCCAACTCAAGCAATTGGCAACGGTTAACCATTGCCAATTATTTAAAAAAAAAGGGCGCCATGGTCAATGGCAATGGTTAACCGTTGCCAATTGCTTGAGTTGGCGGCGGTTTTGAACCGTTGCCAATTATTTTGGGATTTGGCAACCCTCAAATACTCATCGGTTCAAAACCGTTGCCTTTGGGGGGGTTTGAACCGTTGCCAATTTGCTCTTTTCGTGTAGTGGAAGCATTAAATGCGACGTTTTATCGAACCAAGTGTAGCTTTGAGATATTAGCAATCGGATTTCTGACCCTAAAATATTAAGTGTTAAGACAAGCCAAAGCAGGCTTAATCACTTTTTGATTTTTGGGATCTTGGAATCATTTTATTCTCGCCTAAAAGGGACTAATGTTAATGCGTGGATAAAATTCTCAATAAGATTGAAAATTTGCATGAACGCTTTAAATTTCAAACTTATTGGTTTATGAATGGTTTTTCATGAATTCTTTCAATTGTAGAAACATGTCTGCAAGTAACTCAAACAACCAGTTTTTATTACGCTCAATTCTCGACAAGGAGAAGTTGAGTGGGCCAAATTTTCTTGATTTGAAAAGGAATTTGTGTATTGTTCTCATGCAAGAGCAAAATGAATACTTCTTGAGGAGAAAATGCCCGACACTCCCAATGAGGAGGTCACCCAGGTTACCCTTAACCGATGGCAAAGTGCCAATCGGGATGTCAAGTGCATCATGTTGGCCACTATGTCTCCGGACCTTCAAAAGACTTTCTTTGAAAAGGAGACGACTTTTGAGATCATTTCTGAACTTCAGAATATGTTTCAAGAGCATGCCCGAACTGAAAGGTTCGAAACCCATAAGCAGATCCTTGAGAGCAAGCTCAAGAAAGGAGAGCCAGTCAGCTCGCATGTTCTTAAAATGATTGGATTATTTGAGAACATGGAAAGACTCGATGCTGGGTATTCGACCGAGATGGCAATTGACATCATTCTCCACTCGCTGCACAAAGGCTATGATCAGTTCAAGATGAACTACAATATGCACAACATGGAGAAAACTCTCACCGAGCTTCATGGTATGTTGAAGCAGGCCGAGCAAACCCTAAAAGATAAGGGAAAGCATGACATGCTCATAGGAAAGGACAAGCCATTTAAGCGCTCGGGCAAGAAGAAAAGCTTTAAAGGGAAAAAGAAGAAGAATTTTCCGCCTAAGTCAAGTGTTGCTAAGAGTGGTAAGGACAAAAAGGTAGCCTCTTCTAAATCCGATTCCGAATGTTTCTATTGCAAGAAGAAGGGACATTGGAAGAGGGATTGCCTCAAATTCAAGGAAGATAAGAAGAACGACATCGTTGCTTCTTCATCAGGTATTTTTGTTATAGACTTAAACTTTGCTAGCAAAACATCATGGGTATTAGATATCGGATGTGGCTCTTACCTTTGTTCCAATGCTCAGGGACTAAGGATAAATAGGAGGCTAGAGAAGGGAGAGGTCGAGCTTCGGGTCGGCAATGGAGCAAGGATGTCTGCCGTATCCGTTGGAACTCTCAGTTTTTCTTTGCCCTCTAGGCTTATTTTAGAACTTGAAAATCGCTATCACGTTCCTAGAGTTACCAAAAACATTATTTCAATTTCGGCGTTGGACGCCAAAGGTTTTGAATTTCGAATTAAGAACAATAGTTATTCATTTTATTTCAGTAATGTTTTATATGGTAAGGCATATTCAGAAAATGGTCTTTATGTGCTTTCTCTAGACAAACAAGTTTATAACATTGATGATACCGCCAAAAAGGCTAAGACCATCGAGTCGAATCAAACCTACTTGTGGCATTGTCGTCTTGGCCACATAATGCATTAACATCAAATGCATCAAGAAACTTCTTCAAGAAGGTGTTCTTGACTCATTCGACTTGGAGTCATTTGAAAATTGAGAAGGATGTCTATTAGGCATGATGATAAAGTAGTCATTCTCCAACTTGGGAGAAAGGGCAAGTGACTTATTGGGTCTAATACATACGGATGTATGTGGACCCATGAGTACACCCACAAGGCAAGGTTATTGATATTTCATTACCTTCACTGACGACTATAGTAGATATGGTTATGTCTACCTTATGTCGAACAAATCTGAATCTTTTGAAAAAATCAAAGAATTTCAGAGTGAAGTTGAAAATCAACTTGTCAAGAAAATAAAAGCACTTCGATCGGATCGAGGTGGCAAGTATTTGAGCCATGAATTTGAAGATCGCTTGAAAGAAAATGGTATTCTTTCTTAACACCTCCCGGAACTCCACAATGGAACGGAGTATCCGAACGAGGAATCGAACCTTGTTAGACATGGTTCGATCAATAATGGGTCTTAGCGAACTTCTTATCTCTTTATGGGGACACACACTTCTAACTGCGGCACTAACACTGAACCGCGCTCTGTGAAAAGTTGTCGAAAAGACTCCATATGAATTATGGACGAATAAGTATACAAAATTTCAGAAATAGAACACCCCCCTAAAGCTTGGATTATTCCTAAATAATCAAAAGGTTGGATTATTAAAATTAAACGGGATAAAGGTTGGATTATTTAAATCAAATTTTCCTTTTATTTATGCATAATTGCATGTCATTAAGATCAAACCTATGCCCTGACTTGTGTGCTAGTCTAACTATTGGGAGTATTCAAAAACAAAAGGAGCACCTAACTTCTTTGACACTATAAATATCCAATATACCCTTTCTATCATTTATTGCACTGCTTTAGTTTATGATTGCAATCAAAATAATTGACCAAGTTTGTATAGTATTTTAGGAAAAATGAAAATAAATAATCCCACCTTTGCGTGGTTTGACAATAATCCCACCTTTTGATTATTACGAGTCAATCCCACCTTTGTATGTCACTTTCTTTTAATGAACCTTGACTTGTTGGTGACTGATTTTTGTAGGTTATATGCCACGTGTCAAACTAAGTATACAAACTAATTATACAAAATAAGTATACAAAATTTCTGAAATTTTGTATACTTATTCACACAAAAATTTAAGTGCTCCAAAATTGAATGGTTCAACATAGTGTTTTACATTAAGACGTCGAGTTTAATGCACGAATAAGTATACAAAATTTTGTATACTTATTTTTTTGTGTACATAAGTATACAAAATTTCAGAAATTTTGGAATTAGTTTGATATTTATGAGACAATAGTTCATATTTGTGGAACAATATAAATACTATTCGACAATAATGGGTATATCATCCAATTGGAACACTATTTCATGTCTATGGAACAATAAACCATATGTGTGGTACATTAGTTCAAATTTCTGGAACAACATAATTAAAATTCGAGAACTATGTGCATATCATGTAATTGGAACACTAGTTCTTATATATGGAACAATACATAATATTTATGGGACAATAGTTCATATTTCTGGAACAATATAAATACTATTCGACAATAGTGTGCATATCATCCAACTGAAATACTAGTTCATGTCTATGGAACAATAGACCATATGTGTGCATATCATGTAATTGGAAAACAAATTTAAATATGTAAAAAGTTACGTGTTTAAGTGTTAAATATATATGATTGCCTATTTATGTTTTGCTACGTAATGTCTAATAATTGATTCATACAAATTAAACATACATGCATGCGACATCTTTCTGACATTGGATGAAAATTTTCAAGTAATAATTAATTGTACGGATAGTTTAACTTGTAAGCCTACCAGGCTACCACAATATACTAAACAATTAAATTAGAAAATGTCAAGTCTTACAAATGACCTTGAAAATCAAACTTGAGATTAAAAAATTAGGGTCAAGAAATCAAACCAAAATAAACATATAAAACTCACAAAACAAGCTGAGTAACTCTAGTAAAAGTCAATGCATACACAAAATTATCATACTTTGGAATATTATAGGAATTAATTAATCGATTGGATAATTGTTGTAATAATATTTAATTGATTAAGTCAAAATCTACCAACGCAAAACTACGTACATAGTCTGTCCCCCCCCCCCCCCACCCCCAAAAAAAAAATAAAAAAAAATAAAAATAAAATCTATGTACATAGAATAAATTAGGTGACTTGCATTAATGCATGCAAGTGACAATATTTGACGTTAAAATAATTTATATTATTTATCATACTCCCGTATAATAAATTTCTACTATATATAGGCTTGATTGCCTTACGGAAAATTCATCATACATTAGCTAATTACTTGTTTAGCTTTTATAAATCTTTGCTTCAATATTATCTAAGAATTCCTTTGCTTTCATTTATAAATTATCCTAGCTTCAATATAATTAACCTTAGCTAAGAAAATGGGTTCTATTTATGAGATTCCAATGCCTCAAAAATCAAAGGGTCCGGCTACAATCCTTGCTATTGGCATTGCTAATCCACCAAATGAATTTAGCCAAGAAGATTATCCCGATTACTATTTTGGAATTACAAATAGCCAACATTTAACCCATCTCAAGGCCAAGTTCAAGCGCATGTGTACGTCTTATAGTTTGCTTTTTACTCATATTTTTTATCCTCTTGTTATTTGTTTATTGATTTATAGACACAGATAATTTAATTGAATATAATAACCAAGCTTGATGGAGTTGGTGGAAAGCTCACCTTGTGAGTTGTGACTTCTAGGTCACAAGTTCGAGCCTCCATAAACTACGTTTGCTTAAGAGTAGAGGGATTAAGGATAATATAAGGTACTGTAGAAAAATTGAAGAGGTAAGTAGATCCGACATGACTATATATTTTATAAGGTATATTAAACAAGATATAAAGTTAAAAATAATGGTGCGAGAATAATGGAAAATCGAACGTTGTGAATAAAAGTTACATGTAGATTGTTTTTGCATGTACGTGACTACAATTAACTACAATGGTAAGCTAATTGTCAAATTAGCTTGTCATACCACATAAACTTTTAAGTTAATTGTCATTTAAGTTAAATTGAGCTCCAATGACTAGCTATTAAGTTTATTTAATTGAATCCCGCCTCTTTAATTAATTTTTTTAAAATTTCATTTTATTTATTTATTTTGTCAATATTTTTTTCCTGTGCTAATTTGCTTAGCCAAGTTAATTGCATTTTCTAGCTCGAGTAATCAAGCTAGTAGCTGTTGATTATATAATGTACATTGTAAGCAAGTCCCTAGCTACAATTATTAAACTTGCTCTAATAATAAATGAAAATTGTACTTAGTATTGTATCTTATGATTCTTTCCTATTGTTACAAAATCATTAGATCATGATTGACATTCCTCACTTACATGCCTTTAATTTCTTATTTCAGGCGAAAAATCAATGATTAAGAAGCGTTACTTACATGTAACCGAAGAAACCTTCAAAGAAAACCCTCAAATGTGCGATCGCAATGCACCATCCCTAACAGCCCGTCAAGCTATACTCGCAACCGAAGTACCCGAACTCGGCAAACAAGCGGCTGAGGAGGCCATCAAAGAATGGGGGCAACCCAAGTCCAAGATCACCCACGTTATCTTCGCCACCAACTCTTTCGTCGATACACCCGCTGCTGACCAATACCTCGTCATGCTTCTCGGCCTTTCGCCTTCTGTTAAGCGTTTTGTTCTCCGCCAAGTTGGCTGTCACGCAGGGGGTACACTCCTACGTGTAGCCAAATCCATGGCAGAAAACGAACACGGAGCTCGTGTGCTGGCTGTTTGTTCGGAGATGAGTTCCACTATCTGTTTCCAAGCTCCTGATGAGACTAACCTGTTACCTCACACCTTATTTGCTGACGGGGCAGCAGCATTGATCGTAGGTGCTGACCTTGTTGAGCACGTAGAGCAACCAATTTATCGGATTGTGTCCGCTGAGCAGACTACAATCCCGAACTCTGATGGGGTTATACAAGCCCGCCTAAGGGAAGTAGGGTTAGTTGGTGAAATACGTCCGGATGTACCTATACTTATAGGAAAAAACGTCGAAAATATATTGATTGAATCGTTTAATCGATTTGGAATCAAAGATTGGAACTCCTTATTTTGGATCCCTCACCCTGGAGGTCCAGCTATATTAGACCAGATTGAAACTGAAATCGAGCTTGAGCCGAGCAAACTGAGTACTACTAGGCACGTCCTAAGCGAGTATGGGAACATGTGGGGTGCGACGGTGATATTCATATTGGATGAGATGAGGAAGAGGTCGTCGAAGGAGGGCAAATCGACAACCGGAGAAGGATTGGAATGGGGTGTGTTGTTTGGTTTTGGTCCTGGTCTTACTGTTGAAACCATTGTTCTTCAAAGTGTTCCACTAACTAATTAATTATTAATTAGTTGGGATTAAATTGGAGGAGGTCTTAAAGATATATTACATTACATCAAGCTGTTACATATCAGTGAAGATTGAAGAATAAAGGTTGAACTACTATATGTAGTATAATTAGTGAGTTTGTAGACTGTGTACTTAGAGAATAAAAAGTTTTCAATAACTTGTAATAATAATGAGTGTTGCTCATAAATTTATGCTAGTGTGTGCTGGTATTTATTTTAAATTTATTTTCTTAATTTTAATTTGTACAAGTATACTTTGTTTATTTTGTACTACCATCTTTATAACAAAAAAGTTTTTACTTTCCCATTTGAAATTAATATTATATTCACAAGTAATAATTAAGTAGCTTGCAGGGGATGATTTTACAGCGGTCATTTGAAAAATGACTACCATATTTATTTAATGAGGATGTTTCTACTATGGTCATCGTTATTGTGACCGTGACTATACTTAATTATGATTGGTTGATTTTTGCTTTATTTTAAAATCTTGGTATTAGTATTTTCCATTTTTAATTCATTTTCTTATTTCCAAAAATCAATTACTGATTTTCCGAAATTGTTTTTTTTTTGAAATTATTTTATTAAAACATATTTTTAATAAAACCCAAAATTAAGATTAAATAAAAAAAAAAAATTGTTCTTCAGAGTTCATCGATGTTCATCAATGTTCTTCACCGTTCTTCAAAGTTCTTCAAATTTGTTCATCAAATAATGAAATTAACTACAAATTTATTTTCCATGTCCCTTAAATTCAATCGCGCATCAATGGAGACAAAAAAAAAGGCCAAATTTATACAGTCCTTGCGCAATTATATTTTATTAAATAAAAAACGGGGTTCTTACGCATCTAGGTGGGTTTTTAATCCCTGAAAAATAGATTTTAATTGTATAATATCAATCATCGGATACGAAAACACCGAATTTATGTAAAAGAGATAAAAAAATTTAAGTTTTTCGGTAATCTATGTTCGTCAAGAAAATCTGAGAAGAAATCGTAACATATAATTTTAAGTCATTTGCAAAATCGGTCATTATATGTATGTGAAAAAAAAAAATTAACAAAATTTCGAAATCTAGGTAGTTCGCGAGGCAAATCGGAGAAGACAATCGCGATTTTTGTTTTGGAATACCTGTTTGATCCGAAAAAAAGAAGATGTAATTTTAATTTTTGTTTGTATATAAGACATGAACCCAAATGCTAATAGGACAATACTTATAAAACACAGTATTATTGTTTATTTTGTCTATGACCATACGTTATTTTGGACATTGCTAATTATTAGTTTATAATGCATTAATATCTTAATATTTTTCTTAATTGATAGCAAATAGGGTTGTTGTCCTCACTAGCCAGGTCACAATGTATGTTTACTAGGTTTGATATCAATGATCACTTATATATCTACTATTGTGGTTTGATTTCTATATGCATATACCTCAAAATTAAATTAACTCTCAATCAAACCACCTTTAGAGCGATCTAATGACAACCTAATTGTCAAATTAGATTATTATCTTTGTATCTATTGTGTGACCCAATGGTTGGATACTAGTTTGTTAATAATTAAAATAATGAACCATCTTTTGTTTATTATTATAACTTTACAATTAAGGATATTGAGACCAGTTCTATTTATATGAGTAATGTCATATCCTAATATTGGATGAATCCTATATAATAACCAAGTGAAAAAAAAAAGTGTAATTAGAACAATTACAATGGCAAACTTTATTTATTTATTTATTTTTTTAAAGAATACAATCAATGGCAAACTGTTAAGTATATATGTAAAGAATACAATCAATGGCAAACTGTTAAGTATATATGTAAAGAATACAATCAATGGCAAACTGTTAAGTATATATGTAAAGAATACAATCAATGGCAAACTGTTAAGTATATATGTAAAGAATACAATCAATGGCAAACTGTTAAATATACACATAAATGTATTTGTATTACGAATTCACAAAACCACAAATATTACGAATTCTCTCTAAAGCAACATTGTCTATCATTGTTTCCATTAAGAAAATAATATTTGGCCTCTCTCTGCAGCACCAGTACTGTATATATATGCCAAGAAAGTGTTCTCCAGCCAACCTCGAAGGGACACTCTCTCATTAACAGCGTGGCAATGCCCCTCGAAAGGTTTTATAAAAGTAAATGTGGATGTTCATATAGCTAATTCCTATATGGGATTAGGTGCAGTGGTGATAAACCATCGGGGGGAGCTTATTTGGACAGCGGTGAGACAAGTTGAGGGTGTGTGGGAAGTGGAGTGTGCAGAGGCATCGGCTGCGCATTTTGGGTTGTCGGTGGCTAGGCGCCTGGGTGTGACGCAAGTATGGCTGGAAAGTGATTCTTCTTCCGTGTATGCTGCAATCAATAACGGTTCCAGTGGTTGATCGCCAATTTGGTTAATTTATGATGATAATGCATGTTATCTAAGTTCTTTAATGCTTTTATTTCTTCTCATGTTAGAAGGACATGTAACACGGTAGCCCACCTTGTAGCAAGATGGGATACCCGTGGTTGTCTGAAATTTGTTTTTATGGGTCCGTTTCCGCAGAGTCTTGTACTTTTAGCAGATTTTAATTTAAAATATTCCTAACGTTTTCCTCAAAAAAAAAAAAAAAAAAAAAAAAAAAAAAAAAAAAAACCTACCACTTCCAGCTTTGTTTGGCAAGGGAAATGCATTTAGACATTATAAACTAGATTAGAATACACATTGTATGATTTGCATGTATGCATCATGTTCCCAAAAAAGAACAATACTTCCTCTGTTTTTTTTGTTTTTTACTTGCAACAGTTTAACTTACTTTTATATTATTCACATATCTCTCTTTGATTAACTTTGGTGATTTATAGGTTAGGAAAAATATAGTCATGTGGGATCTTGTTAGATTCGTCTCGATTTATACTTTTATAATATCAAATTTTTATAATTTTTACACATTGGTAATTAAAGTTCTTAACGATTGAAATTTTGCATTGACAAGCGTGAAAAAAGAAGTGTTGCAAGTATAAAAAACAGTGGAAGTATAAAATAAAAAATATTGAATTAATTAAACAAACAAATCCCATCTTCATTCCACTTAGAATTATTCAAAGGAAAATAACAACATACAAATGTAAACACGAATATTGTGTAAAAATGCGAAAGCATGATAAAAAAAAAACACACAAGTGCAATCTTAAAACGTACATGACCAGAAACTTAAAACACACCCATAAACCTTATACCACAATCACACATGTAGAAATCATCGAACAAGATTTTTGTTATGCAGGAAAAACCTCGATAACAGACCTCGACCCTAAAATTGGTAAAATGTTATAGTCACAAAAACCAGCCTTATCAAAGAGAAATTTCCATTGTTGTTCAGTTCTTTCTTTTCCTCCAAAAAGATACGACATTTGAATGTCCGCAAGAAACTGGGATCTGGAGTGATTTTCATTGTTAATTGGGATTCCGACTACCATATCTATGATCAGCAACTTTCCTCCTTTTTCTCTACTTGGAATTGCTTCTTTGCACTTTTCAAGTATCTTTATGCAATTTTCATCACTCCAGTTGTGCAATATCCACTGCAAAATTAAATTTCGCAGATAAATAAGCCCTTATTCGGATCAATTTTGTGCATTTCAATCAAACAAAAATAAATTTTTACATATGATAAATAAATATCCACTGCAAAAATAAAATTTATAGGAACCACGAAGTTATTATATCTGTAGATAAATAACCCCTTTGTTCTCAAATGGATTAATTTTGTGTATAACAATCTAATTAAAATTATTAGTCGAAATAACTTCTCGCGTCAAGATTTTCTCTCTTTGTAAATTCGATATATCATAGACAATTTAAAGAAATGTTACCTCACCATATGTCACCCGGATATGTCCTTTTTAAAAAAAATTCAACTCAAATATTACAACAAGTATTAAAAAAAATGGGTTGAACCCACAACCTTACACTTGAAAAGCAAAGGAAATACCATGTAAACTATGCAAAATCATTATTTATGCTATCATGATACCAATTACATGTATGTATGACGACCGACGTACCTAAATGATGAGAATAGGATTGGATTTACGGCCGGTAGCGTATATACATTATAAATACTTTTTGTTGTGCTAAGGAGTAAAGGACTGTAACCAAACTTTAGCCGCCCTCACCGTTTTTTTTTTATCTAGTATTTATGGACAAGATACTAGGAAGTATGGGGTAGGTAAGGAGCATGTATTTTTAGTAGGTAGATTATTATATCTATTAGATTATAGATATAAACAAGTTGTTTATCCCTGTTATTACGGATTACACATTTACACATGTACTAATCACTTGAAAGACAGTTACAACTAGTAGGTGGACATGTATTCCATTTAAAAATCACTTTATATGACAAAGGGCATTTCATACGACAAAGTCAAAGATACAACGAATATATAGGTGGACATGTCTTCCATGTAAATATCACTTTATACGACAAAGCTATAATATGTGAATATTTTACTTATACGAGATTGTTTTTAATTTGTTGGGTTAGGGATTCAAACGCACTAGTGCCAAGTTTTAAGGAGCATGTGTGAGTAGTGTTTGGTAGTTTGTTCGAGTCAAAAGGCATGCTATCATTAGTTGAGTTAATGTATCTTAGTGGGGATCCGTGTTTACCCACTAAGTCAGTATATGTTTCTTAATTTTAATTAGTAGTTATGATGTGTAAATTACTTATTAATAAAATACACATTATTACGAATTTAACAAGATCTCGTTTGATATATTTTTTATTTGTAGATTATTGTACACATAAGGTCAAAGACTCAAAGTTTGGTCAAATTAGAAAAGTTAATCAGATCTGATAAGCAAAATTAAGGTGAACTAAACAAGCCCTTAATTAACTTAACAGTTAAATCAATAATAAAAAAATAATAATAGAGGAAGTATAAGAGTAGTCTTTATTTCACCTTGAGTAAGACGACATTAGCTTGAGGAATAGATTTGAACATGTCACCGGCAACATAAGTCAAGTTCCTTATTTCATTTAGTTGTAAATTGTTGACTACATGTGGTTGATCAAACAAGATACAATTCACCTCAGGAAAAGCCTCAGCAATGGCTTTAACCATAGTACCAGTACCTCCACCAACATCGACGATGGATTCAATGCCTTGGATTAGGGCTTTGAACTTATTATTAGTCAGCAACAAGCTCGAGATCAATCGAGAATCACTTGCCATGGCTAGGTTAAACAAGTCATTGAGTTTGGTATCACTAGGCATGCCTTTGTACAAATGCATGCCTTGAGCCACGTGAAAAGAAGACTCACAAGATTGGTCATGACTTTGAAACCAACTAGCAAAATGGTGAGATGGTTCAGTTAACTGCGGAGTTATCCCTATAAGGGCTAAGGGTGCATGAGTAAGAGGGTGATCTTTTAAAAGGAGTTCGGAGTTTAGGGTAAGATCGTATGCTTCTTCTCCAGTCGGTAAAATTTGTGTGGTGTAGAAATTGTTGTGAACAAGAAGACGCATCATTTGATGCAAGGACGAAGCCTTGTTTGGATGGATCGAAAGAGAATTAGTTAGCTCAACAAGAGTCATGGGTTTGCCATGTTTTTTGATGGCATCTGAGATGCCTAGTTGAATGGCACACTTTAGAGCCATGGAATTTAGGAACGATAAACTATGGTTCCATATAAAACCTACTGCATCTAATAGCTCTTTTGTTTGTTTGTTGGAACAATGGTTTGGTTCCATTTTTTTTTTTTTTTTTAACTATATTTGCTTAATTTTCACAATTCTACTACAAACTGGTCTGAGAGAATGAGGTATATATAGGCTGTAAAATGAATGCTAGAAGCTCGGTCTTATGAGAATAGAGTACAAACAATATTTTTCTTTTTGATGTTCTACATACCCACTTTCTAATTTAGCCTATTCTTTTTAATTATTTTATTTTATTTTTTATTTTTTTAACATCCATACCACCCACCTTTTAATATTATCTCTGTTATTTTATTTTATACTTACTCCCCTTATTTATTAAATAATTTCTTAAGTTGCATATCAATATATATATTATAGACATCATGAATGACATATATTATATCACTTCATATGCTGTATTTTCCCTCTAAAACTCCCCCTCTATTTTTATTTATTTTCGTCAATGCCTTCAACTACCTATTATAAATTATATACAAAATATTCACCAAATCATATAATTATGATTTTTTTTATTCACATATTTCCCTAATCTATATTAAATATTTTCCATATCTATTAATTCGTAACTATAAATATTACTCCATATATCATATACATTACATCATATACAATATTGGTGGGTCATATATATATAAGGTTATTATTGTGTCTATAGAACATGTATTAGATTGTAGTTACTAAAGAGAATGATATGACAAGTATTAGATTGTATTGGTGAATGCTATAGGTAAAACATGTATTAGATTGTAATTACTAAAGCGAATGATATGATAAGAAAATTTTAGTTTTTTCCCTACAGAGATAGAAAATGAATTAGTCGATCTACTTCTCTTATATAGTTATGTGGATTATTCATTTATTTTTCAATTAATAAAATAACATTATAAAAATTAAAAGAAATGCAAATAACAAAATATGCTATTTAAATTACGATCCTTTATTTTTATATCGACCATTAGTAAATGAGCTCTTTATTACTAACTGAATTATCTTTGTATTTTTTCTACGAAATTAATAATTTGATTTATAAACCGTGCATCGCACTATGCTAGAAGAGTGAAGGCTAGGGAGTACATACTCCATATAATAATGTTGTAAACTTTCTAATGAATGTACTGCTACTTTCTGTTTTTAGTTGACACGTGTCTTTTATCACGTTTTAATGAACAAATTTAATGATTAACATCTTTAATTATATATCAACAAATAAAACTATAAAAAAGCTGATATTAAGAAAATTAACGAGATAATTCAAACAAGATCGCACATCACTATGTTTTATTAAACCTATAAATCACAAAAGCTAGTTGATTAGGGGATTTTGCTCCCACCAATCGGAATGCGCCACGTGGACCAATCAGGTCCTGCCAAGTGTCCCTCAGTTGGAACTGTCAGGGCTTGCCACGTGGCACCCGCTTATTCGTCCACCTTGGACCTATTATGACATGACACGTGGCATACTCCATGTCTAATGGAGAAACCGGCCACCCAGGCCCAACTTCCGAGGGAAGCCCAATCAGCCCTAGGTTAACCTAAACCTAGGATTGGCACGTTTCCCAAGGTTATAAATACCTCCCTTAATCCTCATTAAGGGGGATGACATGAATAACAGGCTGATCACGCTAAAAAAGCAGATTACCTACATTAAACACTCTCACCTAGAGAGACCCAATCACTTTAATTTCCGCATTAATTACTCGTTAATCAAGTACTAACTTGACCGTTGGAGGCGGAGCTCCCACCACCAGGAGTCTCCGTTGTTTTGCAGGTACAGGCGTCCGGTTCCAGTCTCGGAATTGTAGCTCTCCCGCAGGACATCAGAAAACCCCGAAACATTTAGCGCCGTCTGTGGGGAGAGTACTTCTGAGATGGCATCCAAGTCTGTACCGACTCCTGAAGAGAGGCGTCCCCTAGACGACCCTCAAGTTCAGTCGGACCACGATACTGAGAATGAATTTGAAGTTGAAGCTCACACAGCTTCAGACGGGACCCTAAGGGCCCGACGTACCCGTCATACCGAAAGGAGGGAACGGGAACATCTTCATACAGGAAGCGAGCCAGCAGGCGCACCGCCTGTTCGGCAACAGCCGACTGATGGATCTGCTCCCATCACAAGGAGTGAACTCATGACCTTCATGAGGGACTTTAAGGGAGAAATTCAAGAGTTGATCAACAAGAAGCCGCCTGCTCTGGACAAGGAGCAGTCAGCTAAGAAACCCTCCACTTCACTGAAGAGGAAGCCAGTTCAAGGGCGAGAGGCGACTCCTCATCCTAAATCTAGGAAGCGGGAGCCGACTGCCCTTGATTTCACAAAATACCGTTTTCCTACTCCAGGAAATAGGAAACCTGTTCGTCATATTCAGGCGGACGGGTCGAAGCAAACATACACAGACGCTCGGCTACTGCTAGAGCAGAAGAAGAGTGACCGATTGTCAGAGTCGGCCTCTACTTCAAACTTCCAAGACAGTCTGCGAAATACCTCAATGAGGCATACTCAGTCGTATCGTGAGAGTCAGTCAGGCGGCACCTCCCGTCAGTCCGGCTTTCATAGCGACCAGGCGGTACCAAACTTACCGTTTGTACCGCAACAACAATATTTTTTACAGCCACCTCCGTTTGGTGGACATGTAGCAAAAAATGTCCAACCTATGGACTGGAAGCTACGGTTGCTTAGACTTGGTGAACAGCCGTCGGCCTTCTCCAAGGAAATTACTGAAGCCGGTCAGCCGGCCAAAGTGAAAAATGTATTAGTAGGCGCCTATGACGGCACTACTAACCCAGAAGACCATCTTATGGCATTCACCAACCTGATGTACCTTCAAGGGTTGGATGATCCCACTTGGTGCAAGTGTTTCCCAGCGACTCTTAATGGAATCGCACAACAATGGTTCGGCAACCTACCGACTGGTTGTGTAAATAACTTCAGGACGCTTGCTTACTTATTCACCTCCAACTTCGCCATGAACATCCCTGCGAAGAAGACGACCCTTGATTTAGGAACAATTCAGCAGGGCGAGAAGGAGGGGCTCCGTTCTTACATCAGGCGGTTTAACCTGATGAGAATACAGATTCAAGGGTTACCGGATGAAGTAGCCTATACTGACTTTTTCAAAGGTCTCAAAGACGGGTCGACCTTCAAATTTGATTTGGTCCGAAAGAGGGTGGCGACTCTTCAAGAGGCCTTGATTGAAGCGGAAGCCTATATACAGGCAACTGATCTTTGTAGTACGGGAAAACAGTCGGACGGGAAAAGGTTCGACAAAAGAAAAGGACGACAGAAACAGTCGTCAAACAAAGACGAGAAAAGAAAAGAGGTCTGGGCGGCTAATTCCTCTAAACAGCTGGCCCAGAAAAAGAAAAAAGAATTCAAACCATACTCCCCAAAGTATGCGTTTAACAAGGATAGCCAGTTTATCCTAAAGGAAATCAAGGGACGGATCTCAATTGAGAAGCCGGTCCCCATGAAGGGTTTTGCAAACAACCGGAACCAAGATAAATTCTGTGCTTATCATGAAGATGTTGGTCATCACACCAATGAATGCATCAGTCTCATGCGGTATCTGGACCGCCTGGCTGAACAAGGTGATCTTGACACTTATGTCAAGAAATCTACGAGGAACACTTCCTCAAAAAAGCAGTCGACCAAAAAGAATCAACAGGCCGATAGCTCAGATACAGATGATGCATTCGTCTACACCATTGCAGGCGGCTTCTCAGGAGGCGGCCTCACTATTAGGGGAAACAAAGACAATATCAGGCGGTTAGATGTAAATTCCGTTCACCAAGAACGCCCCTCCAAATATTCATTTCCTGAGATTGTCATCACTGAAGAAGATCTAGGAGGGGTAAGAGGGCCGCATGACGACCCTATCGTTATTGAATGTAAAGTGGCCAACCAGAGAGTTGGCCGAATCCTCATAGATACCGGAAGCTCCTCAGATCTCATCAGTTGCAAATGTCTGTCGAAACTAAAATATCAGACTGATTGCATACATCCGGCATCCCACCCTTTAGTAGGGTTTGGAGGAGGAGGAGTCCACCCAGTGGGACGAGTGGATTTACCCATCCGCCTGGGCGAAAAAGGGGAAGGACGACACATGGTAGTCCGGTTCCTGGTAGTAGAAGAACTCTCGGCTTACAACATGATTCTGGGACGACCAACCCTGAATAATTCCAAGGCTGTTATAATCCCATCTCTTATGTTGCTCAAGTTTGAGAGGGATAATGGAACAGTCGGGTCCCTAAGGGGAGATCAGAGGATGGCCCAAGAGTGCTATCTCTCGGATGTCAAGCCCACTGTTATGGCCACTGGGTCGAGTGGTGGAAAAATAGACCTTGACAATGTCAAGGAGAGTGCGCCTGTTCAAAAAGCAGGCGGCAAGAAGAGAAAGGCATCCCAGACAGGGGCCGCAAGAAAAGACAGAAAATAGCAATCATTGGCAGAGGAGCGGTCGGATGAATTCCGCCCTCAGCCGGCTGGTGAGCATACGGACCTGATCCTAGACGACTCGCTTCCTGACCGAACAGTCAAAGTTGGGACGACTGCTCTGAGAGTCCTAGGTGACGACTTTCACAAACTATTGAAAGAATACAAGGACATCTTTGCATTCGAAGTCCATGAAATGCCAGGCATTAGTCCTGATCTGGCGGTACATAAACTGGTCGTGGATCGGAATAAGAAGCCGGTACGACAGAAGAAGCGGAACCATGGCGAAGAAAGAAGTCAGGCGGCAGCCGCCGAAGTTAAAAAATTACTTGATGCAGGGTTCATTCGGCAATGTTACTTCCTAGACTGGGTTGCAAATGTGGTGCTTGTTAAAAAGCCGAATGACACCTAGCGAATGTGTGTAGACTACACAGACTTAAACAAGGCGTGCCCCAAAGACAGTTACCCTCTGCCTAAAATTGATAACCTGGTCGACTCAACAGCCGGCCATGCTTTGATGAGCTTTATGGACGCCTACTCTAGTTTCCATCAAATTCCTTTATGGAAGAAAGATCAGGAGAAGACGGCCTTCGTCACTGATCAGGGGTTATACTGTTACACGGTCATGCCGTTTGGTCTTAAGAATGCCCCGGCTACCTTCCAGCGAATGATAAACATTGTGTTCTTTGATCAGATTGGGAGAAATGTCGAGGCATATATTGATGATATGATTGTCAAGACTAAGCTTCAGATAGATCATCTGTCGGACCTCCGAGAAACTTTCGCCACACTCAGGCGGCACCATGTCATGCTCAATCCCAAGAAATGTGTATTTGGAGTTGAGTCTGGGAAATTTCTCGGATTCCTTATCAATCAGAGAGGAATAGAGGCGAA